AGGTCAAAATAAACTTTTTTATGAAATTAAGTGTCTTATTCGAATCAAAACTCTCACCGTAAAAACGTCATAACTCAAAACTTCGTCCAAATTCAAATTTGTAAAACTGTCACTTTTGCAGTATAAAACATTAAAATCGAACTAACATAAATATTTGATTAATTAGTTAAAACACTTTTCATGAAAACGTTATAACTCAAAAATTGTATTTTTAAGGTAATAAAAAGCAGATACCAAACAAATCTAAACTAAATGTTTATAAGACCAAACTGGTTTTAATTTTAAATCATCTAAATATCCCATATTCAATGAAAAATGAGTTTTTTGCTTTTCACCAAAAACTACATTTTTTTGGGTTGTGTCACTTTTGAAGCAAGGGTGCGATATTTTGAAAATTGCTTTGTATGTGGAATTCAAAATGTCAAATAAAAGCTAATGTTATAATTTGTGGCTTAAATATATGAATCGCAAACTGCAGAAAGGCAACAAGTCCAATATGTACGAATTTTGTGTATTTTAATAAAATTGTTTCCAGTAGCAAAACGCAACGTTTTCTACAAAAAGGAAACACGTCCGCATATTAGTATTGGCATGGCAACGCTTTCAATATTCTATTTACGGTCCGTCCCAAACCCTTTTTTCAGTGCGTCATAGTTGTTCGAATTCTCTCTAACGCATTAAGCTAGAAGTGACAGAAAAAAACGTGAGTCGCTTATTATTATACATAGAAATTAGAAAATTAGGTATCGTTTACGGGTATTCGCATATTAAAGCGAATTCTACCTACGAACGTATAATTGGTTGGAGTTTAAAATATGCTAAATAGATATCCAATCAATTATGCATATAAATATAATTTGACACAGATGATCTTAATAATGACAGTGACAGTACTTTCACAACAACTGATAAAATGATAATTGCCATTCCAGGCTAGTATTTTCAGACATTTTAACTACAGTGAAAATTAAATTCTGTATTTATTGTCATAAAAATATTTTAAATATTCCGAGATATACCGAGAATGAAAAAAGACTAATATTAAAATTATTAAATTAGTTTCAATTTGAGGCTGAGTTATCTTTATTTCAGTTTCTGTCGCTCGCGAATCAGATTGTGAATTCCGGAATGATATTGAGGAAATATCTTAAACTAATACCTTTATGGATATTTATATGTATTAAAACGGTTCTTTTTAGAACCACGACATTTTCTTGAAATGTAGGATATACTTAATTGATACCAGCCACATATCTAGTGTAATCATTGATTTTCAAGAATCAGATTCTGAATATGATTATAGATTGTTTGAAATATAATATTCATTTTTGTTATTCATAAAAAAGAAGGTAAACTTACATTCTGTATCTTGTTTTTTAATTAAACTCCATTAACACGATTTCATCTGGATATCGGAACTGGTAGATTAACTCAAGAATCAACTGCTTCACTATTTAAACTATTTATATTGTTTTTTTAACTAAACTTTATAACCTTTCATTTGCACACCAAATCTGGTAGAATAACTCAAAAATAAACTGCTTCACTATTTAAACTATTTCCACTATTTAATGACAACTCTTCACAAAATTAAACTATTGGCTGCCACAAACTTATCAGAAAATTCCTTATCCAAATATGACTGATTTAAATCGATATTATTTTATCGCAGGAATGTTTACTTTGATGCCTTGCAATTGTCAGTAATTTTTTACCTTGCAGTCAACTCTTAAAAGATTCTAGGAGGAAGCGTTATTTTAAATAAACAAACCTTCCAATTCCCTAGTGTTTATAATAAATAATAATAAATCCATAAACAAATCTTAGCTAATTAAGCACTTTCCATGGAATGTATAAAATAGAACAGAATAGAATAGAATTATGACAAACTGCTATGCATTAAAAAAAATAACCTTTTCACGTTTAGCCGATTACGATCCTGCAACTGTCAGATTTAACTAAAATGTCATGCAATAATTCTCGACATTCTTAAAATCCTATATGACGTCAAAATTAGTGACGCACTGAAAAAAGGGTTTGGGACAAACTGTACTGCAGAAAAGAAACTAGTCCAGGACACGTTTTCTTTCTGCGGTAAACAGTTGCGGCGCTAGAGCTGCGTGGCAAATATTCGAACTATCCTCACAGCTGAGTTTAGTCAGACAATATTGTGCTGTATTTATTGATGATTGTTGTCGTCTTCACTGTGGTTAATAATTAGATTAAAATGAGTGGTTCAGATGAGGAATGGGGAATGGGAATAAACAAGAAAAGAAAAGGTGTTACGAATGATGACAGATATAAAAGAATATAATAAAGAAGTCTAAAGTAGCTGGACAAGAACATGTAAACTGGGTTGGCAAAACTGTACCAGCTAAAAAACCAGGCTCAAATTTTTGCAGGTAAATATTGTTTTATTCATTGTTGTTAATTTGTACATTTTGGTTTAAATACGATTTTACTGATACTTTAATCTTGTGTATATTTCGAAGTAATATTAGGCTACTAAAACCTAACCTCAAAGTGATTTACTTATCTCCAATATCTTTTTCTCTAAATTACTGTTACAATAAAGTCTTTTGTTGTTTCAGTTGCAAATCCAATTGCCTTGGAGTTTTCACTGAAAAAGATATGATTGAAATATTCGCCAAACTACATAACATGACAACCAAAACGGAACAGGACATTTACATCCAATCTGTTATGGAAGTTAGTCAGATTGCAAGGGAAAGACCCAGGTCTAGTTCGTCAACCGCGAAACCCAAGGATTTCAGTGTGATTTATTATGTAGTACACAATGGAAAACGTACAAAAGTATGTAAAAATGGATTTATGAAAACCTATGGATACACTGCAAAGCAGTGTTACCGTTTGTACCATCTATTGCAACTAAATGAAACAGCAACTGACAACAGAGGAAAAAACGTTTCAGGAAATGCAATACCTGGGTCCGTACTATCTAAATTAAGGGCCCATGTAGAATCATTCCCCACCAAAGTACATCACTATACAGGAAAAGAAAGAAAGTATTTTTCAGCTAATATGAATTTAAAAATCATGTACGACATGTTCATTAAAAAAGAACATAGTTTCCTTATTTCAACATTAGGAACTGAGAAAAGGCTCTCCTACAAGTTTTTTTCGACATATTTCAAGGAAAACTACCCTTCTATTGGCTTTGCCCAACCAGTTAAAGATGCATGTGTTACATGTGAGGAACTAAATTTAAAAATAAAAAGTCCTGTTTTGAATGAGAATGCAAAGCGAGTAGCTGTCGCCGACCTAACAGTACATAAACGTAAATCTAAAAAGTTCTATGCATCACTGAAAGAAGTGACCACGCAGTGTGTCAGTATGCCTGAAAAAAATGTTGGTATCTGCATAGATTTTATGGCCAACGTATCTCTACCTTGTATTCCTGTGCAAGATACCTATTACCTTAGACAGCTCACTGTAAACGTTTTTGGTGTGCATAATCTCGCGACACGGGAATGTACAATTTTTATCTATCATCAAGGTGAAGGGGGTTAAGGCTCAAACGAAGTTTGTACTATGTTAGATTGGTACATAAAAAACAAAATTGGCAGTGGTGTAGAAAACATTTATCTGTTTGGGAACAACTGCGCAGGGCAAAATAAAAATAATACTGTGATTCGCATGATGATGTACTTGTGTGAGATAAAAAAGTTTAATGAAGTCAAACTAACCTTTCCTGTTAAAGGCCACTCTTTTATGCCAAATGACAGAGATTTTGGCATCATCAGAAGAAAATTAAAGCAAGAAGAACGATATTATACTATTAATGAGGTTGAAGAGCTTATAATGAAATCATCCAAAATTGACAGCAAATTTTCTGTTATTAAAATGACTGCTGATGATTTCATTGACTTTAGGTCATGGTGGCCCCAGTTTTATAAAAAAAAACCTGCCTAAGTGATGATTCGTATGGCAAAAATGTCCCAAGAAACCAAAAAAGGGCTTTTGCCATATCACAATACAGAGAAATGACGTTTTCATCAAAGAATCCTAACACGGTTCAATGTAAGATGAACATCGGCGGCTTCATAATGGATGAATTCAAACTACGGAATACAGTACAGCCAATTCAGGCTCCTACTAGAAGAGCATATTCAATTTTACTTCCAATTAACAACAAGAAAATGGAAGACCTGAAGAAAACATTGGTATACATCCCGGAAGAAAAAATTAATTTTTGGAATCCGATTTTGTCATGGCCAATTACACCGGCATTAACAGAAGAAAACTAAAAACTTGAACTGAAATTTATTTCAAAGTTTTAATTTATGATTTAATTGCTTTATTTCATGTATAGGACATTGTTTTATTTCATTAAAATTAGTTCTCATAAAATATTCTGTTTATATATTGATTGTTTTCCTTAGAACTTCTTAAAGTTTCTTGATTACGGCAAAAAGGGAACATGTCCTTAACACAAAAAAATTCTCTACACTCTCCTCTTAAAATATTTAAATATTTTATAAGTCTGTAGTAGTCCAGAATGCCCAATCACATAATCCTTAAATCCAAAAAAATTAATACCAGTAGTGTGTTTGAGTTTACCAAGTTTTTTATCTCTCCTGAAAAATTGGCAAACTTAGACTGCCTTTCTGCAGTTTGCGATTCTTATTTGAAATTGAGATATTTAATAAAAGCAAACCAAATTTTAAAAATACGCAGCTTTAAATAAGTTTTTCAATTTGTTTTCATATATGTCTATATGTTAGCCACCCCCAAAACTATCTAAAATTTCCCTTTCCGAATCCAATCCTGTTTCTACCTTGAATATTGCGGGAAAGTAAAAGTCAAATATACCAAATCAATATACACCTGCCTAATAGAGGTAGTTAACAACTGACCTATACACACTCACCGAGTTCTCTGTCAGATTCGCGTGAGTATACAACAATCTTCGCGCACCTTTTATAAATAGGATGCCTTCGACGTTGCTGGCATCGAAAGAAAACTTTTCAGTGTTTTCAGTTTTTTCATGGGCTATTCACACACTCGCATCGCTGACAAAAATAGTGTGTATGTGCGAGCGATTTTTTTGTCGTGGACCGGTAGCGATCGGGCCTTGATGAAACACTTTGTTTGAGTTTAAGAATCCGTTAGAACTTTTTGAAGGTAGCGTATCATTGATATCGATTTTCAGGAAAATTATTGATGTTTGTTTTGTGTACCGAGTGTTTTTTTATTGGTGACGTTACTGATATGGCTGACTCGCAGGTGTTCGTCATGTTACCAACAATGTCAACTCTGATTTATGCAAAACAATTTAAAATATTGCCTGTCCTGGCGCGAACTTTTTAAAAAATATTAAAACGTTAACTAAATATTGTCGTCTTTAACGTCATAACACGGATTATGTTAACCCAGATTATTCAAGGACAGCACGTGTAGTTATATCTGTCAAGCAGCGTCTGTTACTCATTAGAAAATATTAAAAAATATATAATCATAATCAGAATTATAAAAGCTATTTAAAAATAATACTTTAACATACTAGCCAACTTTTATAACGTCTATATAACATGCAGATGATATTGGAATAGACAAAGCTCAATTTTGGAGCATTTTCCACGAAATTTACAGAGATGAGAGAGTAAAGTCGAATTGTCTAATTACTTTTTTCTATTATTAATTAAACAATTTAAAAATGTTTTTAAAAGCCTAAATCTATCTATCTATTGATTTTTTTTATATCCAAGTTCAAATATAGACTTCCATTTTTCTTTGTTCATTGCAATTTTTATCCATCTTGGAACGGCATGTCTCTTTAAATCATTTGTTCCCTTTATCTGTGGTCTTTCTTCGGGTCGTTTTGATTTCCGGGGTCTCCAGTGTAGTACTTGTTTGTTCCATTTATCGTCCTTCTTTCTGATGTTATGATCTGCAAATTTCCACTTTATGTCTGTGGATTTTCCTATGACTTTCCCACTCCTTACATGTTTGTCTTTCAAGCCTATTAAAAACATTCGCCTTTCCAGAGCTCTCTGGATCTTTGCTAATTTATCCATGTTAGACTTTGTAATTTTCCATGTTTCCATCCGTATGTCATCTATTAATAATTTTGGAAAGCTAACTTTCCAAATGCCGTACATGCTAATATTGTTCGAAGTTTTATCTCCACAGTCTGATGCCATCCAGTCTTTATTTGTAAAATTTTATGATTTGTTCCAAATATATGAAGCTTGGGACCTGTTCCATCTTATTATTTTGTAGGGTGAATGTACCAATTTCCGACCAAATTAGGATTTTTTGAATTAAAAAATTAATATAAAATTGAATCATTAGTTTTTGAACGTAAAACTTCTAGCATTTATTTGATTTCCTTATTTATTTTATTTGTTTTAATTTCCCTATCTTCGTCCATTTCCAAGCTTCTCACTGGTATTTGTTCTGTTGTTAAATTCAGAAAACAACTATCATTGGCGTGTTATGATGACAAAACTATTTGAGTTTAGTCTTCATCCGTAACTCATTTTATCTGTTAAAAAATAAACTGCCTACGCGTCGCGTAGTGGCAACAATCCAACTAGCTAATAAACATTTATCTATTTTGACAATTACGATCAGTTTATAAGTAAATACAATTTGTACTGTATTACAGTCTGTCTCGAAATAATATATTGAAGTTCAATAACAGTACACAACGCATATTGGTAACACTACAGGTCAGATTTAGGGTAAAGTGTGCAAATCGCGGTCACCTAAGAAGAAAATTTAATATAAAAAAAAGTAAAACTCTGTGAATCAAATTTAAGCCGTTAATCCGTAATTTGGGGTTTTAACTTATTGCAAGATACATTTAATTTCAAAAATATAAAATTTTTGTCTTTGACAGAGACAAAACATAAAAAAGTATCTTTGACCGGTATTGTCACCATACATGGACAATACCGGTCATGAGTGTGGGTAATGCCAGTCAATTTGTTTGTGTTATTATTAAAATAAAAATCAATATCTATTTAACATTTTTTTGTTATAAAACGATTAACGAATGTGGCTTAATGGGTCATAATTCAAGTAAATCAGTAAGAAAGGTGAAAAAATATTTTTTATTACAAAACAAACAAAAAATAACAAAAATATGTGTTTTAATGTAAAAATAGTTGACAGTCATCGCAGGTATAACTCTCTGCAGAATCCCATCCTCTGCACTCTGAATAAGCTCATCGTGAGCAAACGGTAAACATATACCACAATTCATTGTTTTTGCCAAACTCGCTGTAAACCAGGCATCTATCTTCGTATGCATCGTCACTGTTATCACATGATATATCAATATCCGATTCCAAAGAACTAGAATCAAACACCTTTTTCTTGTAATGCCAATTACAAGAAAAAGGTGTTTTATTACAAGAAAAATTATCTTGTAAACCCAAATGCTAATTTTCTCAGTTCTATTGCTGTTACGCCATAAAAAATTAAGCCAAATATTTTTTTTGTGTGGCTATTTTAGCTTCTTGTTCGGCAGAAAATACTGATTTTCTACCAAATGAGACACCTTGAAGATTTTTATTTTTTATTCTTTCTTGCAATGTCGAAAAATGGATGGATTAATCCCTAAGGATTAATAGTATAGGGTATAAATTATAGCATGGGGGTAATACCGGTCAACTAACCGGCATTGCCTCCTGTTGGCATTTTTTTTCTTAGAATTTTTTACTCGTAAACATGTATTAAAATATTGATCTTTAAAAAAGGAATAGGCAGCTAACGTCATTATAATCAATTGTAACCAATTTTAAGATCTACAAGTGAATAAAAATGAATTAAGACCTTATATTACTCAGCATACAAATAAGATCGAAAACACTGAAAACAGGTTAACAATATTTCTATGAATATGGTTTGCGCCAACTCAACGGTCGTCAGCAATCTGAATACAGAGTAGTGTAGAGACACGTTGGCAGTTATAGGAGGTTGCCAGATTGAATAGATTTCGCACAATCGGGATGACCGCCATTACCCACTGACCGGTATTTGCACAGTTTATCCTAATAACCGTAGCAAATCAATCTGAAAAAGATCAAAAGTGGAAAAGGTATATAAAAAGCAAATAAAGTAGATTAAATCAATATTATTAAAGAGAAAATTAAAATAGAGTAAAATGGATTAAACAAAATTTATAAACAAAAAATCTAAGTAAGGATATACAATCGTTTTTTCTCTCTCTAAAATTCGCATGATCATAATTGGGCGGGCGCCGCCGGTTGATTGTATTTTAGTACCTTTTCCGTAATTTTTCATATGACAAATACTGCGCCTGTTCATGATCTTCCGCTTCGGAAGCCTTGTTGTTCATCTTTAGGTGATATATTCCCTCGTTTATTAATTTGGTTATTTAATTTTTGTGGTTAGTTTCAGCGTAGTGTTTAATACATTGATTTCTCTATAGTTTTCCGATTCTTTTTATAGTTATACATTATATTATACTTTGTTATATAAAAAGATACAAAAATATTTCTTCTAACATCCAATGTTACCAGAAAACACCAGAATATAAACTTATTATTTCACCGCACTATGACACTATACTCTGTTTCTCCAGATTCACTAGAGGTCCAAAGGGTTAGGTTGTTTTAATCTTCTTTCGTGTGAAAAGATCCGTGGCCAGCGGATTTAGATGGCAAGATAGTCTGGTCTTGTATGCAGAGTTTACAGCAGATATTGTTTCGCTAACTGTTGATAACTGTACTGTGTTGGTAATCGTGGTGTCATCTGTGGTTCGAAGTATACCAAAGGGCATTGTAGATCTGGTGCAGTACTTTCGATTGGAATCGTTGAATTTTTTTGTATATTGGTATTACTTGCTGTACCCCAGATTTGTGCTGCATATAGCCATATCGATTTTAAAATATATTAAGAAATCAGATTTATTAAATAAAATTAGAGACGTCCAACTAATTATCAAGAATACATCAGTGGACCGAGTAAAGCAGTGTACATATCTTGAAACAATAGTAAACGAACAATGGGATCACTCACAAAAAGTAAAATGTAGAATAGAGAAGGCTAGGAGTGCATTCAATAACATGGCAAAACTCTTTAAAAGCCACAACCTTAATCTGGAGATAAAAGTAAGGCTCCTACAATATTATATCTTCTCGATATTATACTACGGAGTTGAAACTTGGACACTAACTGAAGCGATGGAGAAAAAGCTTGAAGCTGTCGAGATGTGGCTATACAGAAGAATCCTAAGGATATCATGGATGGACCAGATAACCAACGATAATGTACTACGAAGAATGGGGAAAGAAAGAGAAGTGATGTATACGATTAAAAGGAGAAAGTTAGAATACCTCAGACACATAATCAGAAACAGCACTAAATACAGATTACTGAAAATAATCCTTCAAGGCAAAGTATTCTGAAAGCGAGGAATTGAAAGAAAAAGAATATCATGGGAATATCAGAAAACCTGAGGAAATGGTTCTCCACAAAAAGAACTAATCTATTTAAAGCATCATTTAATAAAATAATTATAGCCATAATGACTGCCAATATTCGAAACGAAGAATAAATCTAACCAAAAGACGAAGAATAAATCTAACCAAAAGACGAAGAATAAATCAGAAGTTTTCAGGCTAAGTTTTGATTTTCGACTCATTAACCAATACATTTTCCTGTAGATTAAGCTGAGTTGAAGGCGTTTCTTCCAGATTCCAATTAAATTTGCTATCCAAATGAATTCCCAGGTATTCCAACGGTATTAACTAGTAGTGCACTGTTGTGAAACTTCTGGCGCGTCACATTTTTTTTTAAGTAAACGTTATTTGTGTTGATTTTAAACTGTTGACTTGAATAGCCTCAGTTTAAGCCAGCTTTCTAGTTTAAGCAGGTGATTGTGCAATACCTGGGATGCTTTAGTTGTTCTAACTAAAGCCATGATAACTGTTTCATCGGCATATGTAGCGATTGTTGTATTGGTCGTGACTGGAAGATCTGATGTATAAGTAGACATTGGGTCCTAGTATGTTTCCTTGTGGAACTCCGGAACATATTGGAAACAGACAAGTGATTTTCCCACCTCTTTTGACTTGAAAAATCGATCTCTTAGGTAGGATCTGTAAAGTGAACTTACGGGATGAGGAAATATTGACTTAATTTTGGAGATA